CCCCTATCTCCTCCCTGGTCCCTGCTCCCAGGATGTGTCTGCTTTCAATCCCAGGAGAGAGGAAGGAGATTCCCAGCAGCAGGCCTGGGTCTGTGACTTCCCTTTCCTGTGCCTTCTCTCCAGATGTTTAATGAAATTCATCACAGCAAGGTCATCCTGGCAAACAGTGGCAAGATTGAATTCAGCTGGGTGCTAAACCCTAGCCCTGCAGACAAGCATCTGCCTGGTGTGTTTCTGGTCAAGCCCACCACTGTAAGTAGCACAAGTGACTGACCCCAGCCCTGTGTCAGGTGGCCCAGGAGAGTGTTAAAGGGGAAAAAAAGGCGGGGGGGCGTGTAAGGGGGGGAAAAGGTCAGAGGGGGAAAACCCCAAACCCAGCCATGAGAGAGACAGGGCTGTAAGCAATTTCTGCTAGGGCTAGAGAAAGTCAAACAACTCTCCTGACAGACTCCCCCACGGCCTTGGCTGGTGGGTGGCTCTGCTGTCAGAGGCAGACACCAGCTGGAGGCACAGGTGTGTTGGTCACTGTCCTGTCCTGCTGTAAGGGGAGTAGAGGAGAATGCTTTTTAATGGATTTCTCAGATGAAAATAAGGCACAAACGCAGGAAGTTTATATCTGAAAACTGTTTATTGATAAGGAAAGGTCATGGTCCCGACCAGAGAGGGAACAGAAAAGAGAGCAGAGAAAGAATGAGAAACTGAGAGAGTAACCCAGAAGAGGGACAGAGCGTTTCCGCTGGAATGGAGCAGCTGTGCTGCCAACCGCACCGAGCGTGTGTGCCCGCCGCGGCGGGCCGGGCTCGATCCGCCGGCAGAAGGGCCGGCTGTCCCGCGGGGTGCGGCCGGGCCGGGCTGTCTGGTGAAAGCCGAGACTGTAATATGTTTATCACTAAGGTGATGTGGTCTGATGGTTTCTTCTAGATGAGAACCTATGTTCTCAGCCTGTCTGTCCCCTGAGCCATCCCCATCAAACACTGATGCATTCCCTCCCTCCTCTCCTGTCCTTGCAGGGCTCCATTGCACCTGGCGAGAAGCAAGTGCTGGAATTCTCTTACCTACCAGGATTACCAGGAGCGTTCAGCAGGACTTACCAGCTTACAGTGGGTGACCTGGACCCGGAAAATATCTGCCTGAAAGGAGAAGCTTCCTTTCCCATGATCAGTGTCAACCTGCCCTGGAACATCAAAGGTGGGCACTGCCTGTCTGCCCCCAGGAAGGGCCCCTCTGGTTTTGTTCCCTACCATATGCCCATAGGGCAGCTCATGTCCACCTTCACCAAGGCTGGAGAGTTGCAGGACTCCCAGACCAAGTCAAGCCTTCTTCATGACTCTTGAGCAGAGGATCCCATGTGGACTTTGTCCCAGGAACCAACCTGCAGAGCCTGCCAGCACATCTAGCAGGGTCCTGAAGGATGATGGCTAGACTGAAAGGCTTGGGAAAGCTGTAAGAGAGGCTGGCAGGGCTTCTGGCAGGGTTGGATTTGTGTGACATTGCAGGGGATGAGATGCTCCTCTGTGGGGAGGGAGATGGATGGGAGTGAACATGAGGATTTAGAGAGGAGCAGCAGCATCCACTTTCCATAGATGGCTTGAGGGATTTCTTTCTGGAAGAAACCAATGTTGGGAGGCAGGGACTTCCCAGCTTAAATGGGACTGGCACTTTGGCATAATTCTCTTTGTGGATGTTTTCTTCCTTCAGGAAATGAAAAATATGAGAAGCCAGTGAAACAGCCCATAAAACCCCTAAAACAATACAGTCAGAGGAAAAAATCAGTCATTTCTAAGAAGACTCAGAGCCTGAAGACTGAGACCTTGACGTTTCAGACCCCAAAAACTCAGACTCCAAAGAAACTGATTCCGAAGACTCGGAACCTGCAGCCCTGCGTGCCTGGCTCTGACACTCCAGTAAGAACAGCTGCAGCCCCGTTTGGCACGTGCCACCCTCTCTGTGTCACCTGAGCCCCTTGCAGCCCATAGTAGCTCCCCAGTACCCTGATGGCACCTGGGACCTCCCTGCCCACTTAGAACCATGTGTCACCTCAGCACTGCCCCTAGGGCTGCCACTGTGGTCATGGTCTCTTCTGGGGCTGAACCAGCTTCCTGGCTACCCCAGGGAGAGATCATGAAGGCCATGATGCAGGGATAGAGCTGATGGTACTTTGAAGGACATGCAGGTCATTGCTGGGGAGTTCACTGGTCCCAACACAAGCCCTGCCAGATTTACAGACCCAAACAGCAAATAGTGGCTGCCTGATTGTGCCCTGGGGCTGTGCTGGCAGTGCTCATCTCCAAGAGGCACCAGCTTGCTCCCAGTTCCCTTTCAAGACAGCTTTTGTCCAAGCTGCCGTGGTACTGGCTGGGGGCAGGCAAGTATCTGGAGCTCTGGAAGGTTCCTGGCTTGTCTGTCTGCCTGGCCAGAGCAGCTTTGCTAACAGTGTCTGGGCAGGCAAAGATGCTGGAGTTACTTCTCTTGACCAGATGAGGTCCTGGCTAAGAGAGCAGGAGGTGTCACAAACACTGAGCAGCGAGACAGGAGACAGCCACACCTCCTCCCAACAAGAGCAGGGGGGGATCCTTTCTCAGGTGCAAGCTGGGCTTTGGGAAGGATCTTTGCTAACCAGCCACTGTCTTCCCTTTCCTCAGCCAAACACTCAGCTGCAGATGAACACGGTGAGGATGCTGATAGAGAAGGCTGCTCTGGAGCTGCAGGAAAAGTTCACATCCCATCCCCCAAAGACCAGGTTCCCTGACAAGCAGCTGTGCCAGAACCTTGTCAAGTGAGTAGGGACTCCCATCCCCATCTCCAGGTGCCCCGTGGGGAACACCCAGCCATGTCCCCTTCCCCTGAGAGCTCCTTGTGCCTGCAGAGCTGGGAATAGCCTGGACTCCAGAAAGGGTCAGGTCCTGGTGGCTGTGGCACGCTACATGTGAGCAGCAGAGTGTCCTCCCTTCCCCAGCACCACGCTGAGCTTTGGACTGCTCAGCTCCCCACAGGTGTGGGGTTCTGTCCCTAGAGCTGGGGGACCCAGTGCACCCCTTCAAGCCCTTGCAGACAGCATAAATTCTGTCCCTGCTGACTAGCTCTGAAAGAGACAACTCCCAGCTGATGTCTTGGTTCCAACCGTGCAGCTGTGACACTAAACAAAAGAAGGGAACTGCACATGTTAGCAAACCCTTTAAAACCCAAAATCAGATGGCTTGAACCCTGGTGGAGTGGCAGGGCTTTTCTAGGTAGCTTTGTCCATCTCTTTGCACTATCATGACACAGCACAAGCATGGGAGCTTCAATTCAGGAAGAAGATGCTCTGCAGAACAGATCATGTGATCGGGTTGCAGAGCAATGAAGATTTCCTGTGCAGGCAAACCTTGTTCCTAGGCCCCAAAGCAATTTCAGGCTCAGGCTGTACACCAGACTAAGCAGTTTCATTGAGACCAGTGCAGGCCCAGTGTCCTCACTTACACTGGGTTTTCATGGCAGAGGAGCTGTGGCCAGTGTCCATTTTAAACTAATTTTATTTTCAGATACCATTAGTAGCTGATACAACCTAGGACCTGCGCTCCTCCTGACTTCCCAAAGTCATTGCCACGTGGTCAGGCCATGGGTTTCATGGGTTTGAGCTGAGTTTTTACAGCAGTGAACAAAGAAATAGCCACTGTATTTGTATTGTCCATCCACTTGGATGCATAGCCAGGCTGTGGTTTAAGGACTGTCCTTAATCTCCCTGCAGAGTTGAGCTGCCCGAGTATGTCCTGGACATGGGTGCTGTCCGTAAGGGTTATACTGTGAAAAGCACTCTGGAGATCACCAACCCTGGGCAGATGCCAGTGTCCTTCCACGTTGATCTGTCTGGCCTGCAGGACACAGGTAAACAGTGCTGGAGACACTTCCTGTGGCCTTGAAGGAGTTGTCTCAGACAGCTTAGCTTAAGCCACTGAACTTGGGGAGATTTTTTAGCTTTTTCTTCTCGGTGCCCCTGCTGGGAGCTTTAGAGGCAGAACTCTCCTGGCCAGCCATGGCCAGGGACCTGGCCTGCCTGTGACTGCCCTAATGCTTCAGTGCAGGGGCCAGATGGGCTCATCACCCTGGTCACCTCTCAGCATCTTCCACCCCTGGCTCCCACGAGCAGCAAGTTTCTTTGGACACTGTGGGTTTATTTTGCCAACCAACAGGGTCTGCTGTGTTTTGGAAGTGCTTTGTTTGGAGTTCACACTGTCACAGCACTTGTATTCAGCCTTTATTGAGGAAGCAGCCTGTGAGATCCTCTGGTGGATCAAAAGAGGCTTCCAAAAGAGGTCTTGAGGCAAAGCTGTGCTTCCGTCACACAGTGGCTCACTGTGTCTGAGGCTTGTTCAGGTGCACTCTTAAGTTGTTGTCCAGGACACAGCACGACAGGCTTTTCCCAGGATGCCTGTAAGGCCTTAACATGCTTATGACACATTTTGTGTTTCTCATGCATCTCAGCTGCTTTGTGTTCATCTCTTCAAGGTTTCAGCATGGACCTGGACAAGGTGCAGGGCCTGCTCCACAGCTACACCAAGACGTTTGACGTGCGCTTTGAAAGTGCCCGGCAGCCACGGGGTGACGTGGATGTGCTGCTGCCCGTAGAGGTACCACAGCTCTTGGGGCGGGCAGCAGGCTGGGCACAGCAGCAGATGTCACTTGCGCCCTCCGCTGAATTCTCTGTCCTTCTCCAGGTGACAAAAGGCCCCACATATAACATCCGTCTCCGTGCCAATGTGTCTGAACTGTCACTCGAGCTCTCCAAGACCACTCTGCACTTCTCTGCTATCCTTGTTGGGCAGTGTAAGGTTGAGACAATCCGTCTCTACAATTGGTTCCGAGTACCCTGCAAATGGTCCATCAAGTCTGTTCTGAAGGTAAAGCACAGGCGACGTTGAACATGTAACTTCTGGGCTGGGTTTTCTTTATGACTCTTGCGCTTTCTGCTCCTGTGGCTGCCTGAGCACTTGGGTCTACAAGCTTGAGGAAGCTTCTGAGGGTCTAGATCAAGGCTGGACCTTTGCTTTTAGTGGATGCTTTGTTTTTCTGCCATCTTCACCCATTCCTCCTCCTCTGAGGACAGTAGTTCGCTATCTGCCTGCCCTGTCTACAGGTTTTCCCTCCAGCTCTAGGCTATGGGGGCCACGCTTGGTTTGGCTGTGGGTGCTCTCAGCACTATATCAGTGTCTCAGAGCACGAAGAGACCTCACACAATGTTTCTGTGCCCAGAGCAATCAGTACAAATACATGACACCAGCCGTACGTAAGAAGCTCCAGGCACTGATGAATGAGCCCTGTCCCTTCGAAGTGAAGCCCTCCAAAGGAACCCTTCCTGCAGGAAGGTGGCAGAATCTGCAAATCCATTTTACACCCAAGGAAGAGGTGAGATTGGCAGGTGTCAGCCCGGGAGGCCTGTAAGGCTGCTTATGTGTCCATTGACACCATGGTGAAAGAGGCCATGGCCAACAAACGGAGCCCAGCAGGGCTCTGTGCCCGGGAGCTCTGCACCAAGGCTGCCATGGAGCTGAAAGACAAAGACGAAGGTGATGCTGGTAAGGAGAAATGCTGGTAAGGACCCAGAGCCAGTGCTTGAGAAACCCACCATGACTGTCCACTTCTGCTTACTCAGAGCAGCAGTTTTTCAGTCCTTGGGTCTCTTAGGGAACATGGCTGAAGTGCATCACTGGCTTGTCTAAAAAAAATAAATTGAATTTTAAGGGCTCAGTCAGGGGTTCTTTTATAGCCCCCTTTGCTGCCATTCTTGGCACATGTTTGTTGTTCTAGGGGTGGTGAAGCACGCCTGTCACTTTCCCAAATATTTTATATTTCCTCAAAGCTGAATTGAGCTTGCTCCTCATGGGCAGCAGGCAGAACTGCTTCCCCCTTTAACAAGGAAAAAGCCTTCTGAAGTGGCTCATTAAGGACAGGAAGACTATAAGTGTAACCTCACAAACAAGAGAAAAGGAAGGACAGCCTCCCAAAGGAATTTCCAATGAGAGACATGCTCCAGATGAGCTCTTTTCTCCAGAGAGTTACCTATGCCCACTGTCAGGTTGCACAGCTCATTGGGCTGTTCTCCATGTGAGACTGGAGACATTTATGAAACTTGCTGGGCAGTTGGTACCCTGAGCTCTGCAGGGTGAGGCCAGACCTGGCTCGGTGCAGGGGGAAGTTTTGCATTGCTCAGTTTTGTACCTGGCTGGGTTGGGAGCTGGTGGAAGGAGTTTTCTGCACTTTCCTCTTTTCAGAAGTCTTACAAGAATGAGCTGGAGCTTAACATTCGTGGGAGTAGCAATCACTTAAAGCTGCACCTGTCAGGACAAGGTCTGCAGCCACGGTTGGAGTTCAGCCCCCCAGCACTAAAGATGGGATGGGTGCTGGTGGACAGCCGTGGGGTGGAGGCCACAGTGGTGGTGAAGAACCCATGCAACTTCCCCATTGAGTTTTACTCACTGGATTTGGATGAGCAGTACCTTGAGGAGGAGAAGGTGAGAAGGCAGATCTGATCCCCGTGTACATGCTGCCCAAGCTTCACAGCACTCCAGCATTCCCAGGCTTGTGCCAGGGAGATGGAGGCAATCCCCAGGGCAAAGCCATCTCTGCTGACTTACTGTGGGAGGACCTAAACTAAATAGTTTGTGTTGTTGGGAGGAAGAGAGGAGAGAGAAAATGGGTTTGTTGAGTCTGAGAATGCTGGATATGGAAGCAGTGTATGGAAACAATGCTCCTGGAGGACGAATCTTTGGCTTGATCCGCAGGGGAACCGCTGTGCGAGCAGCATCACCTGCATGCACAGCTGTTAGGAGGGACATAGTGCTGGCTTTAAAATCAAGTATGGGATGGTGTGCTTTTACCTGCTGGTAAGAGAAGCAGGGAGGGAGCTGCTTCTGGGAAACAGTGCTGCCAGTGCCCAGCAGACTGGGGAAAAAGTGCCATCTTCCTTCCCAAGGTTGTGCCCATTGCAGTGAAAGATGCCTGCTTGCTTTTCAAAGCCCCCCGGGTTTCTGCTCAGACCAAGAATAAACGAGCCTCTGGGGAAAAAATCAACAAGAAGTATGCCAAAGGCAAGAACCTTCCAGCACAAAAGAAGAAGGAGCCAGCCAGCAAACCCAACATAAAGGACACAAGGGTAAACATGATCTGCCCTGGTTGATGCCTGGGACCTTTTCATTGTCTTTGAGATGAGCAGGGACTGCTTACAGTGGAGGCTCTGTGCCAGCCAGGGCCTGGTATGTGGGTCCATAGTGCCATGACTTGGGCTGGGAATGTGCTCTGGCAGACAACTCCACTGGTTCTCAGTGGTTTGCTGGCCCTCCTGGCACAAAGTGCAGTCCTGGCTAGTGTGGCTGCAGACAGTGAGCAAAGTGCTGGGAGGCTGCACCAGGGGCTTGCAAGCTTGGGTGTCTGCTGGCCAAGGATGGACCCTCCAGGACCATCCCCTGGAGCCCCCAGCCTGCCCTGCAGGGTTGTTCTAGTCTCCATTAGTGAGGAACCCCAGCTCCAAGCCCAGCAGTGGGAGTTGTTCAGGGCTTTCCACCGTGGTTTCTTTTCCTTACAATGGTTCACACTACAGTTCACAGTTTCCACTGCTTCTGCACCGCAGCAGCTGAACATCATCAGCAGTCGTGGGGAAGAGCTGAACTGCTTGAGCTGTGTGCTGCCTGAGGACCTGCTGGTGGACATCCTCAGTGAGAGGCTGAAGGTGTGTGGGGTGGGGGAAAAGGAGACATTCCGGCTCCGGAGAGACAGGCACTGAGGTACGACTCAGAGAGGAGGAGGAGGAGAATGTCTGTACACGCTGCTGGAGGACCCTGGACTGTGTGCAGGGAACCTTGGGGCAAGCTGCAGCTGCCCTTAGTTGGCAGAGCCTAAGGACAGATCCAAGCTGCTCTTAGCTACTGCACTTGGAACAAGGATAGCTGGTGCCCTGGGGAATCGGGGTTTACTGTGCAGCTGCCAGCCCCCTGTGTGCAATGACTGACTTACTCTTCCCTTTATTCACAGTGTAAAGACTGCTCCAAGGGAGTGATCTTTGATGGCTTGGAGAGCCTCTTTGCAAGCAGCCTGGAATCTTCTCTACTCTGTGTACTCAGAGCTGTCAAGAGTTGTCATCATATCTACATGGTGAACCTGCATCAGGATTATGCTTCTTGGAAAGCCAAGGAGGAAGCTAAAAGGAAGAGGAAGGAAGCTGAAAGAAAGAAGGAAGGTGAGATGTCTCCTCTCAAATCTTCTCTCTCAAGCCCTCAGCCTTATCACTGCATATCTGAGTTTGCATCAGAGCTTGTAAGAAATCTTTTTATCTTCTGCCTCAGTGTAACTAGCACTCATCTCAGAGTTACAGGAGATCTGAGGTTTAAAGATTCACCTTCATCTCTAACATTAAATCTTGGGCACAAGTGCCAGCTGCTCTAACTCAGTGACAAACGACTGTCCTCAGACTTGGTGCACTTAAGCCAGGCAAAGCCCAGGAACCACACTGCCCAGCCATAGTTTGGGGGATTGTCTGTATTTTGGAGCAGGGATATGAGCTCCCCAATATCCCCTGGTATGATAGACTGGGTCGGGAAAATCTCTGAATCCTTGAAGCTGGCTCAGAGCACCCAGCTCTGCTTGCAGTCACTCATTGTTTTTCCTCTGGTTCATGCCAAAGAACTGAAGCAGGAAGAAGCTATGCAGAGAAACATAGAAAATGTCTTGCAAAAGGATGAGGACAAGTATGATGCTCTCCCTGAGGAGAAGAAAGCAGAAGTGGATAAAACATTACTGGAAAGGAAGAGTATATGCAGGATGGGTGCAGTGTATGGAAACAATGTTCCTGGAGGACAAATGCTTGATCCGCAGGGGAACTGCTGTGCGAGCAGCATCACCTGCATGCACAGTTGTTAGGAGGGACATAGTGCTGGCTTTAAAATCAAGTATGGGATGGTGTGCTTTTACCTGCTGGTAAGAGAAGCAGGGAGGGAGCTGCTTCTGGGAAACAGTGCTGCCAGTGCCCAGCAGATGGCAGTGGGGTCTAAGCACCAAAAGAACTTTTTGATGCCTCCACGTGCCGTGGGTGAGACGCTGCCCCCAGAGGTGCTGGAGGACTATGAAGCACAGAAGAGGCCAGAGGCTCAACAGGCAAAGCTCAAGGCCGTGGCAGAAGCCAAGGCCAGGGCTGAGGCTGACGTCATGGGCAAGACCATGGGCAAGGCAGCAGCAGGTCAGAAAAACAGTGAGGGTTTGGCGGTGTCTGTTTTGACTGTGGTCACAGCTGGGAGTCCAGTCCATCCACCCTGAACTCTCTGTCACCCTGCTCTCCAGGGAAAGCCCATGCTTTTAGCAGCAACTGGGGAAAAAGTTCCATGTTCCTTCCAGGGCCCAAAGTTGTGCCTGTTGCAGGGATAGGTGCCTGCTTGCTTTACAAAGGCCCCCTCAACCATCTGTCCCCTGTGCAGGTGAAAAGCCTCAGGTTGCTGCTCAGACCAAGAATAAACGAGCCTCTGGGGAAAAAATCAACAAGAAGTATGCCAAAGGCAAGAACCTTCCAGCACAAAAGAAGAAGGAGCCAGCCAGCAAACCCAACATAAAGGACACAAGGGTAAACATGATCTGCCCTGGTTGATGCCTGGGACCTTTTCATTGTCTTTGAGATGAGCAGGGACTGCTTACAGTGGAGGCTCTGTGCCAGCCAGGGCCTGGTATGTGGGTCCATAGTGCCATGACTTGGGCTGGGAATGTGCTCTGGCAGACAACTCCACTGGTTCTCAATGGTTTGCTGGCAAAGTGCAGTCCTGGCTAGTGTGGCTGCAGACAGTGGGCAACATGCTGGGAGGCTGCACTGGGGCCTGCAAGCTTGGGTGTCTGCTGGCCAAGGGATGGGCCCTCCAGGACCATCCCCTGGAGCCCCCAGCTAAGCTCATGTTGCTTTCACCAAGTCTCTTTTCCTGGGATCTGAGGAGATGGGGAGGATGATGAGGATCAAAGGCAGGAGGCTGACTCTTCCCCCTTGTTTTGCACTGCAGCATATCACAGGACTGTCGAATTCTATCCCGAGCCCATGGTGAAAATGACTGGGAATCCTATCTCTCGGGCTGTCATGCGCCACCTGGGCATTGACCCATCTTCAGGGAGGTGTGAAGTGCAGCAGTACCGAGGGATTGTTGTGTGTACATGCTGCTGGAGGACCCTGGACTGTGTGCAGGGAACCTTGGGGCAAGCTGCAGCTGCCCTTAGTTGGCAGAGCCTAAGGACAGATCCAAGCTGCTCTTAGCTACTGCACTTGGAACAAGGATAGCTGGTGCCATCGGGGTTTGCTGTGCAGCTGCCAGCCCCCTGTGTGCAATGACTGACTTACTCTTCCCTTTATTCACAGTGTAAAGACTGCTCCAAGGGAGTGATCTTTGATGGCTTGGAGAGCCTCTTTGCAAGCAGCCTGGAATCTTCTCTGCTCTGCATACTCAAAGCTGTCAAGAATTGTCATCATATCTACATGGTGAACCTGCATCAGGATTATGCTTCTTGGAAAGCCAAGGAGGAAGCTAAAAGGAAGAGGAAGGAAGCTGAAAGAAAGAAGGAAGGTGAGATGTCTCCTCTCAAATCTTCTCTCTCAAGCCCTCAGCCTTATCACTGCATATCTGAGTTTGCATCAGAGCTTGTAAGAAATCTTTTTATCTTCTGCCTCAGTGTAACTAGCACTCATCTCAGAGTTACAGGAGATCTGAGGTTTAAAGATTCACCTTCATCTCTAACATTAAATCTTGGGCACAAGTGCCAGCTGCTCTAACTCAGTGACAAACGACTGTCCTCAGACTTGGTGCACTTAAGCCAGGCAAAGCCCAGGAACCACACTGCCCAGCCATAGTTTGGGGGATTGTCTGTATTTTGGAGCAGGGATATGAGCTCCCCAGTGTCCCCTGGTATGATAGACTGGGTCGGGAAAATCTCTGAATCCTTGAAGCTGGCTCAGAGCACCCAGCTCTGCTTGCAGTCACTCATTGTTTTTCCTCTGGTTCATGCCAAAGAACTGAAGCAGGAAGAAGCTATGCAGAGAAACATAGAAAATGTCTTGCAAAAGGATGAGGACAAGTATGATGCTCTCCCTGAGGAGAAGAAAGCAGAAGTGGATAAAACATTACTGGAAAGGAAGAGTATACAGACAGAGGGGTGAGTAAGCCTTCCATGTGTTACTGCTCAGGGTATTGTCCCTGGGGGGTTTCCCTGTTACTGCACAGGTTACTGAGATGTGCGTGAGGGAGAGAAGATGACGAGGAGGATTCCGTCTTATCAGAAGGCTAAATAATTACTTTATTATTCTATACTATATACATTACATCTAAAGTGAATCTGCCTTGCACTCACCCTTGCCCACAACTGCACCAAACTGCACTTGTCTTTGATTATCCTGTGACTGTCTCGTGACAGTCTGACGCACACACAACTCTTGGCCCTTATAGGCCAAGAGAACAAACATCCTCACTTTGGGTAAACAATCTCTATATTGCATTCCACTTCAGCACAGCAAAAGAGATAAGAATTTTGTTTTTCCTTCTTCTCTGCTTGTCTCACAGCTTTTCTCTGTTCAGAGGGCATGTGAATACCCATTTCCCCCTGTTTCAAGGACTTTGAGCTCAGAGGTATTTGATAGCAAAGGCCAGAAGCAACACAAGAATGGCCACTCTCTTATCTCCCTGGCTCCCAAGAGAGGAAGGACCTTCTTCTGTTGAGACAGAACATCATCTTCTCTCTTTTAGTAGTGAGCCCTCCCAGCTTAGATGCTGTCTGCAGGGAGTTGGGCTCTGGGCTTGCCTTGGCACTGCCTGTAGAAGTCTCTTCAAGTCCATGATGTTGATTCGCACCTTCTTCATCATCTCCCTTCTTCAGCAAAACAGTGGGATTGTGGTTTGGGTCCTGGTCCTGCCACAGGTGAAGTCCTTGCAATGCTGATCTGCCAGGATTCTCCTTATGGTGGGACACCACCCATAAAAGCTCACGTCCTTTAGGCTCCCCTTCACCTGCAGCAGTAGGCAAGCTCTGCTCCAGCAAGTCAGCCCAGCTCAGGACTCACAGGAAAAGTGTGGAGCTGGGAGGGGGAGGCTGCTTAAAGCAAGCCTGTGTATCAGGACTCCTTTCAGCCCAGGCTGAGGTTGGTTTCATGGGGAAGAGATGGACGAGGCTGCTTCAAATCATTTTCATGGCAGACAGCACTAGACCCAGCACTGTGCTTGGTCACAGCTGGGTTCCAGCAGGAAATCTGGATGACAAGAGCCTGTCTTACAGGAGAGGAGTTCCTGCAGCCTTTGCTTTCTGACTGATGGGATTATTCTCATTAAGGAGCAGGCTATGCCCACAGAGAAGGGGGCTGAGTGAGAATTGTAGTAGCGATAAGCTGATGTTAGCAATCTGTGATCTGCTTTAAACTGGGAAAACAAGAGATGAAGAGTGTTTTCAGGCATCAGCGCAGAGAGCTGGTGGATCAGCCTTTGGCAGTGGGCTGGAGGTGTCTGGGTGTGCCTTAAGGGGGAGGTTGCATAGTTGAGACCTTATGATGGCAAGGCTTATGTTTGGCTGGTCCTGGAGGTCCCCTTCCACCAATCCTCTCACTTGGGATGTTCCCAACCTCTGTGGGTTGAGGAAAATCCACAGAAATGGTCTCATGATTCTGCCTGGCCTTAGGATAAGGAATGAAGTGCAGGGCCAGCCAGGACTAGTGAGCCCAAGTTTCTGATGGTGACTCTCAGTGATGATTTCTATTTTTGTTTGCTGAAGGGAGCTGAAGCGGTTTTCTGAAAAGCTTGAGGAGCAGGCAAAAGCCTTAGAGGAGGAAGAGAAGCGGAAGGAGGAAGAGAAGCAGAAGAAGGAAATGAAGGGTGTCTCCTTGGGGAAGCAGCCTGCAAAACAAGAGAAAAAGGAAACCGAAGCCCCAGAGAAGGAGGAAACAAAAATCCCAGAGAAGAAGGAAACCGAAGCCCCAGAGAAGGAGGAAACAAAAATCCCAGAGAAGAAGGAAACCGAAGCCCCAGAGAAGGAGGAAACAAAAATCCCAGAGAAGAAGGAAACCGAAGCCCCAGAGAAGGAGGAAACAAAAATCCCAGAGAAGAAGGAAACCAAATCTCCGGGGAGGAAGGAAACCAAAACCCCAGAGAGGAAGGAAACCAAAACCCCAGAGAGGAAGGAAACCAAAACCCCAGAGAGGAAGGAAAGCACAGCCCCAGAGAAGGGGGCACCCAAAGCCCCAAAGAGGGCACCCAATGCCACAGAAAAGGGGGCACCCAAAGCCCCAAAGAAGAGAGGAACCAAAGCCCCACAGAAGAGGGAAACAAAAGCCCCAGAGCAGGGAGAAGCCGAAATCCCAGAGAACCCAGCTGAAGGGAGCTGAAGCGGTTTTCTGAAAAGCTTGAGGAGCAGGCAAAAGCCTTAGAGGAGGAAGAGAAGCGGAAGGAGGAAGAGAAGCAGAAGAAGGAAATGAAGGGTGTCTCCTTGGGGAAGCAGCCTGCAAAACAAGAGAAAAAGGAAACCGAAGCCTCCTTGGGGAAGCAGCCTGCAAAACAAGAGAAGAAGGAAACCGAAGCCCCAGAGAAGGAGGAAACAAAAATCCCAGAGAAGAAGGAAACCGAAGCCCCAGAGAAGGAGGAAACAAAAATCCCAGAGAAGAAGGAAACCAAATCTCCGGGGAGGAAGGAAACCAAAACCCCAGAGAGGAAGGAAAGCACAGCCCCAGAGAAGGGGGCACCCAAAGCCCCAAAGAGGGCACCCAATGCCACAGAAAAGGGGGCACCCAAAGCCCCAAAGAAGAGAGGAACCAAAGCCCCACAGAAGAGGGAAACAAAAGCCCCAGAGCAGGGAGAAGCCGAAATCCCAGAGAACCCAGCTGAGATGGAGAACTTGATCCTGAGATTTCAGATCTATGAGTCATCACAGCAGGACATCGCACAGGTTTTCTCCTACTGGGACAGGGTTCAGGGTACCGTGCAGTTACCTGTGATCCAAAAGGGAAACAAGTCCCAGCCTTCAGCTGAAAACAAAGATCAGAAGACCAGTAAGCCTCAGGAGAAGCCTGAACACAAACGTGGAGGCCAAAGGAGTCTTCAGTTATGTCAGCAGGGGACTCAAAGCAAAGTTGCAGAAGGGGCTGTCAGAGACGAGCACGTCGGGGTGCCGTGCCTGGACATCCAGGTCACAGATCCGAAGGCCATGATTAAGGAGATCCTGAGGGATGGGAAACTGCCAACGGAAGACCAGGTAAAACACTGCAAGGCTCATATCTTGAGCTTGCTGTGGTTGTGGGCCCTGGAGCATTGTGTCCCCCCAGGTGATAATGGCACAGAGCGTTGTCCAGGCCCCTGATGATGTTCCACAATGACTGTCATCTATGTGAATGGGGAGGTTATCACCATCCCTCAGATGGGCAGAAAGTGGGAGTGCTCTGTGTACAAGTATCCCATCTGTTCAGAGTCTCCCAGCCTGGAAATGGTCATAAATGGTCCCAGGACAGGGCAGCTCACAGTCATTGTTTTCTTCAGCTGAGTCACTCGGGAGAGGTTTCTCTCTTGATCTGGCTCTGGTTGTAGCTCTTGCAACTGCTCTGGAGCCTGCTCACCCCACTGGGCATAACAAAGCACTTGTACTTCATATATGTCAAAAACCCCACTGCCAAAAGCTCGGTGCCTTTAAAGAAGGAGTTGTGAGGATCAAGGTGACAGAAGTATAAACAGGATTTTGTCTTCTGTTTTAGATGCTGAAATATCTGGAACTGTATCCCGACGGCCCTCCCCTTCCCCCTGCTGCTGTGCTCTCCATAGTCGAGTACCCAGTGAAGAGGCTGGGCTCTGCAAAGCGTGGGGGGCGCTTCACCATTGTGCCACCTGAAGGTGCTGCCATGGAAGACAATCTGGTGGGTGCTCCAGTGGTGCCAGCACTGAAGGTGCCAGGGCGGGGACCAGGCTAGATGGGGGCATGGGAGACAGGTTGGATGGAAAGGGAGCATTGTGGAGAGGTAGTAAAGATGTGATGGGGCCCCATGTCTGCGGGTCTCCTTTCTGTCAGGGATGGGACAAAAGAGACAGCTCTGCTGGAGACAGAGCAGTTCTGTAAGACAAGAGGCAAAAAAATCACTTAAAACCATCAACTTCCTTTGAGGAAAGAGTCCTTAGTGAGAAGGGGTGTCCTAGGCAAAACAACCAATAAGGAAGACCAAGTCCATGGGCAGGTGGACTTATTTATTTATTCTCTCTTCTGCTGGTGAACAAACCCCCATTTTGCTTTCCAGGATGGGGATGTCTGAGGGCTTACCTCTCCCTCCCTTTTCTCCTTAGACCAAGGCCCCACATGCAAGGGGCAGTTCTGCCAAGGGCCGACCAAAGACAGCTAAAGCAGCCAGCAGAGACAACTCTCTGGAGAAGCAGATCTCCACACAGAGAACAGAAAGTCCCCGGGTCTCCTCTGCAAAAAGATTCAAAAGTACACTGGAAAGTGCCTCAAGCCCCACAGAATTCCTCAGGTGAGCTGCACGGGAGGAGGTGATGCCTCTGCTTCTTGGTCCTCTTGCCAAAGAAGGTCCATCATCAAGTGTCTCATATCCTTCCCCACTTTCTCTGCCCAGGGTGGTGTTTCCACAGTGGAGGGAGACCGTGGAGGAAGATGAAGTCATCTTCAAGGAATATGTTGAGAGCACAAAGCAATTCCACTTTGGACCGCTGCTGTGTGGGAAATCAAGAGAGTGGTATGTGCTCCCTGCTGGGCCTTGTACTTTTCTGGACACGCCTGGAGAGACATGCTGTCCTGGTGGCACAATCCAGGGCAGTCCCCAGCAGAGTCCTGGGAGACACGTGGGTTTGCAGGACCACAGATGTGAACTTGAACAGATTAGAGGCAAATGAGCCTAGGAGGAGCTGCTCTGCCTACCCAGTGGTGCCTTGGTGGCCAGAGCTGCATGCTGCTGCCAGTCCAAAGGTGATTTGGACTTGGGGGCAACTTCTGTCCCCCTCCTCATCTCAGCTTCACCCCTTAGAAAATGAACTTTATGGTGGTTTTTTAAATGCTTTGAGCTCTGCAGGTAGCCTGATCAAGCAATTATTCTGTAGATGGTTTTGTAAACCTTTCGCTCATCTGTAATTATAATAAGGTTTTATGATTGACCTGCCAATGGGTGTCAGGGGAACATACAGCAGGAATTATATTTTCCTGTAATGACGTTGCATCCCCCACTTCTGGATAAATTCTGCCTAAACACATTGTCATCAAAGCTATTGTGTATTTCTACTTTTATTATCACCAGTTTTTTTAACAGTATTTAAGTTCTTGTCTCCATAGGAACTCTGGAGGGCTAGGTCTATGTTGACAATCCAAGGAAATGAAATCAAAAAAGTTTTTAAAAAAAGACATTAGCCAGGTTGATGGATGGTCTGGGATTTCTGTTTGCCTCTTTAACCCTTTCACTCCAAACTCATTTCCACACCTGGGAGAAGGGTAATTTGTTGTCTTTTTGCATTCCTCTTGGGAATTGATGCTTTATATTTCTTTCTCAGACTTTGAGGTAATCCATGAAATCTAAAGCAGTTTCATGACTTTCATGAAAGAGATTAGCTAAGCTCTTTTTCCAAAACCCTTTCTTTATACCCTGCAGGGAAGGCATCCCAAGAAAGAAGGGGAAAGAACCCATGGGTCTGGTGTACTGTTATTTTTCTAGGCACCTTTGAATTTATGTTGTATTAAGAACTCTCAAAGTGGCCTTGAGCATCATCAGGCTTCTGGGGTGGAGGCACCAAGTCCAGGGGAAGGCACCAAAGTAAAGCAAGGACCCTTGCTATGCCTCTGACTGGGATCCATTTCCCTCACTTGTTTGTTAGAGTCTTCCAGCGCCACTTCCTCAGGTGCCCACGGTGCTCTCCTCAGTGTGTGGCAAAGGCAAGACTCTCCTCTGCAGCCTTTTCCCCTTTTGTGGATAGGTACAAGGCCCAGAACTGTCCTGGCAACTCAGAGAATATCACCATCCTCAACAATTCCCCTGCGGATGTAGAGGTCCAGTTCTCCTTTGAGAATGCTGGGGAAGCAGAGACGTTCCTTCTGGACCCTCCCAGCATGACACTGAAACCAGAGGAGAAGCAGGTAGGGGAAGGGCAGGTAGAGCAGGCGCTGTAGAAGTGCCCAGGGGCTGCTCCTCCTGCTCACACACAGAGCTCTTTTGATTTCTTCCTGTGGGGCCATGTCCAGAAGCTGACCATTTGGGCATACCCCACTTCCCCTGGCTTCCTGGAAGACAAGCTCATCTGCAGCATTGGGAAGAACCCAGACCCAGTGGTCTTCAGCCTGTGCTGCCATGGGGTGCCCATGAAGCTGGAGGTCAGCCCCCGGGAGCTGTCTTTTGACAAACTGCTTCTGCACAGGTCAGTCATCCCAAAAGCACTCCAAGACTTGTGACAAAGAGAAAACGTTTGGCTCTGGTTTCCAGGGCATGGATGGAGCTGCTCCAAGTTGCATTCAGTGGCGAGGCTGGTGTGACCATCCAGCAGCTGATGCCAAGTGCTTCCTGTCTCTGCAGGACTGACAGCAGGACCTTAGTCCTGAGAAACAATGGCCTGCTGCCCATGGCCTGGCAGCTCAATGGGCTGGATGACCTTGTTGAGGACTTCTCCTTGTCACAAGATAATGGCACCATTGATCCCCACTCAGAGTTTGAAGTGACACTGTATTTCAAGGCTGGGCAGATTGGCAGCATTGAGAAGACCCTCCGACTAGAGGTGAGAGGGCCTGTGCCCTGCCTGGCAGAGCAGGGCACAGTGAGCAACTGTGTGCTCCTAGGGACACGTGTGCTCCTAGAGTCAGGAAGAGCTGCACCTGACAGACACAAGGGTGTTGTGACCCCAACTTCTGCTTCTACACAGTTTGCCAGAACATGCAGTGCATCCACATCCCCCCAGATAACCAGACACTGCTTCCTGAACCTGTACCACAACCACCTTGTCCCTGTGAATCGTTGAAGGTTGTTTTTGGTTGTACAAACTGCAGCATGGTCTCTACATTCCTCCTGGCCTTTGTCTGAAGCTCTTGCATAGTGCAACAAACTCTCCCCTGGGATTTTGTTCTCCATGGTTTAGGGGCTGCATTTCAGAGAGGGTGCTAAGTGATTGGAGAGGGTTGTCAATGCCACCTGCTCTGAGACACCTCACACTTCCTGTGGTTGTTCTTACACCCCTGTACCTCTCAAGGATGCTTTAGCAGCAGCATTCCCTGCTGTAGGAGCACAGAGTTGGGCTGATAGGGTTTTTCACTGCAGCAGAATCCCATGGGGCATCCCATGAGGCAATCTCATGGGGCAGCCCATGAGAACAGGTTAGCAAAGCCTGGGAATCCACCAACACTTGTGAAGCCAGGGAGGCCATAGGGGAGCAGAGACAAGGACTTTCAGGCTGTCTATCAAAAGAATAATCTGAACAGTGTTTGTTTCTTGCTGACTCAGGTTTCAGATACAGAAAACATCCTGGGGATTGCTCAGGCTGAAAACATCGAAATCTCTGCAGAGGTCTATGATGCTTCTCTGAGCATTGACATGCCTGAAGGTCAGTGGATGCCTCCCAAACAAAGCAGTCCAGGTGCACTGCATTATTTTGGGAAGTGGGTGACCAAAGCACTGGGATGGGATGGGATGGGATGGGATGGGATGGGATGGGATGGGATGGGATGGGACAGCATGTAAGGATGGCATGGATACATAAAGCACATACCCTGCAATCTGCGTGGAATAAAGCATTGTCAGGGCACTGACAGCCTTAAGTCTCTCCTCTCTAACTTTGATGTGTGCAGCTTCATGTGCAGATTTGATTTGGGGCTTTGAAACAACAGTGGCGTGAACAGGCAGTTGGCAACCCCCACAGGCTCAGTACAGTATATAACGTAATTGGATTTGTGCTTGGAAGCAAGGAAATGGAAGCTGAGCTCCTTAGCTACTAAGGCTGCAGATATTTTGAGTGAGAAGAGAAAGGGCAGACAAGTAGCTGGAAAACATTTTCAAGAACAGAAACTTGCTGAAAATGGTTTTGCACCAAGACCTCCATGTTGCCTGTGACCTCGTGTATTCTGCAGCAGCTCACAAATACCGTGTTTGACCTTGCTCTGGGTTTTCTGCAGGTCCAGATGGAAGCTTGGAATTTGGAACCATTAATGTCCTGGATAATGTGAAGAAAGTCCTGAGTCTAAAGAACAAAGGGGTATACAACATTGAGTACAGGTGAGTCCTGCTGCCTGGTAGTGAGCATTTCCTCGGGTTCCCAGGCCTTCATTCTCCCTCTGTCAATGGCTAGCGCCTGTTTCCATGCTGGCTACCTCATGGGAAATACAAAACCTGGGCTCTCTGATCTCAATTATTTTACCAGAGAATCCAGCCACAAACCAGCAGTTCTTCACAGCTCAGCTGGTCCCCAGAGGAGAGCTCCAGAAATTTCAGCCACTGAAATGCTGAGATTCATTGCCTTTCTTTGGTGGTCACCTCCTTTCTCTTTCTGAGACTCTGTAAAAGAGTGAATGAAAAATTTCGGTCTCAAGGTTTCTTGCAGTAACCTTATGATTGTCTTCACTCTCTGTCAAGATCCAGGATTCCCTAAGCAGATCTGGACTCTCCTTTTTCTTTTTTTTTCCGGTCCTATGCAAAATCCTGGCTGTGGTGGTGGCACCTATCCATTTAACTGCAGAGATCTCCATTCTTTCCCTTTCTCCCCAGTTTCACACTGAAGGGTACAGATCCCAGCATGCAAGACTTGGCATCCTGCTTCACTGTTGAGCCTCAGTCGGGTGTGGTAGTTGCCTCCCAGCCTATTGTGAATGTTGAGATACTCTTCCACCCCACAAGTGAAATGCTCCTCAAGAACAAACCCATCCTGTACTGCCAGGTGAGCTGCCTGGGCCGGGCTGGTGTTTTGGGAGCGTAAACAGGATAGGTGTCTAATGAAGGAGGGCTTTACTGGAGAATCCTCTCTCCTACATACACAAACAAAGTCTTTCAGCACCATTTGAGAGGCTTCCTAAGTGGAGCTGAGAATGTGACTCTGGAGGAGGTGCTGAAATGGGGAGGGGTAAATTGATGGAGGCGTGGGGTGGAGGCTGGGGACTGGAGTAGAGGCTGGCCTCTTTATTGTTTACCACCCTTTCTGTGGACACAGGTGATAGATCCCAGCTCAGGTGAAGGAGACCAGGCTGTCACCAACATCCCGCTGAGGGTGTCGGCCAAAGCAGAGTACAGCAAGTACAGCATTGTGCCTGCCTCACCCACCGACTTCGGTACCATGGTCAAGGGCACCAAGAAGACCCGGGCTGTTGTGCTGGAGAACAAAGGCATGCTCGGCTTCAACTTCCACATCCGCCAAGAATGTGGAAATTAAACCCCAAACCCTGACCTTCACCGTCAGTGGGAAGGGGCAGGAGCTGCCGGTGACAGTCGTACACCCAAGCGCTCGCAGCAAGAGGGGAAATGCCGTGCTGCGCTTCAAGAGGCTCCGGCTGGGGGATTCAGAGATCCTGCCCCTGGTCATCCGTAATGATGGCACCATTTCTGTCAAGGTGAGGAGGATCTGCTCAAGGAATGGTCTGGTTTGGGAACAAAGGCTTGTGGCACAGGGGAAGGGTCCCAGAAAACATGGCAGACATGGGAAGAGTCACTGTTGAGCCTCAAATGACACAAACTCACCAGGAGACTGAATTGCAGAAGTTTAATACAAGAAGCTCTCTCTCTTTTTATAGACAGGTTTGACACATTCTACTTGATTGGCTAATTACCAAAAACATCTTTCTCACAAACAGTCCTTGAGAAGAACAGAAAGAGTAAAAAAAGCACCACCTGCAGGTTGTTTATACTAGCAAGTTTTCATTTCTACAACTCCCTAAAAGCCGCTGTGAGAAACGCATGTCGTTTCTCACTCTCTGACCAGGCTGTCATCCACAGGGAAGAGGTGTCAGAAATTCTTTTTAAGCGAGTAACCGACATCTGTTCTCCAAAAAGGGAGTTCTTGGAAATTTGCCATCCAGTCTTTCTTCTTTAAGTTGAATACAAGAAAGGTGGTGGAGTATTGTCCTCCATCTCTCAGGTCACCTTTTGTTCTCATGGACATGTGTGGTTTCCCAGTTCCATTAGATTGTATTGATCCCAGCTTACATTTTAAGTAAACGTAGTTGTGGTTTAGTTACATTCTGCCCACTACTTTCTGTCCTGTTTGGCTCTGTGTCAGTTCTATCCAGATGCCTCTGAACACCCTTTTTTCTCAGCTGATTTGACTTTTGTGCTAAGTGCTGTTAGTAGTGGGAGAGGCGCTGGTTGCCATGTGGGACCAGCAGCACTGTGGTGTCAGTCCCTGTGCCATCCTGTACTCACACCAGCATCACTGTGCTCTGGGTTCCCTTTTCTCAGTTTATGTTACGCCTGGAGGATGAGCATGGAGCGTTCTTCTTGCAAGGCAAGGTCTCCACAGTCAAGATATTCCGCAGTGGAAATGTGAAAGAGGACTCAGTTGGAAACGGTAAATACCCATGAAGTATGATCATGCACAGAGGGAAAATGTGTCCTCTGCTCTTGGCTTCTCTGAGCACAGCCAGATGTTAGGCACAGTTTCTTTGCTTGGGCTCTCTGTCCCTCAAGTTTTTCTTGGGGCCTTTTTGCAAGGTCTTCTCTTAGCAAGTCGCAGGAAGTTCTTCTGGACATGGTGGGTTGACTTGTGGGGCCTGTCACTACCTCAGTATGAGCATGGCAGGGTTGCCTGGGGAAGAAGGTGTTCCTCATCAGGAAGTGGTACCAGGAGTCTATCAGACAATATTACTGTACTATTTGCTTTATATTTATTGGACATTTTTTGTTATTCCTCTTTCTCGCCTTTCAGTTTAAAGCTATGCAACACAGGGAAGGTAGCCCTGGAATACTACTGGGAGGAAGCTGCAGGGAGTGAAGCAGTGAAGATGCCACAATCAACTGCTCTGACAAGTAAGGGCATTTCACTTGGTAGCTGAGGGCCTGGGGAGAAGACCCTGCCACTTCTCTCCAAAACATGAATTGCTTTTCCATCCTTGTCCATACGTCCACTTCCATCAGCATCTTCCCAGCTGCAGCTGGAAAGTTTTCTCCTTGCCCCCATCTGCTGTTCAGCCCCTTCTCTTCTTGCTCTGCCACTGCTGCTCTGCAGAGGACTGAGCCAGGCTCTGGGGACAGCCACGTGCTGGGTCAGGACTGGGAATGGGGACATCAGGTCACCTCTTGAGAAGTCTGAGACTGGGAAAAACAGTGATGTAACAAGTGAGCTGGAGTGGGGAACTGCAAACAAGCCACTGTCTTGTGTGCAGTTCCCTACTCCAGGGCAAATGCAAAGTCACCATCTCAATCCAACTCTCCTGCTTTGGCACAGGAGTTTGTGCTGCAGGCAGAGGCCGTGCTCCCAGATGCTCTATTTCCAGCTAAAAGTACTTGGCCAGTGATGCTCCAAGTGCATCCCAGCTCTCTTCCACCAACCTGTGCAGGAGGCAGAGTTGCTGGGAACACAGGATTTTGTCTTTGAAAGGTGTCCTCTTCCTCTCTGCAGGTCAGTTCCTCTCCTCTGAAACTTTAAGGCATTACAGAAAGCTGCTGCATCGTTTTGGATTGCAGCAGGAGCATCCTTTTGAAACTCATTCTTCTGAGCTGGAGCAGCTGCAGCAGCTTGCCAAGCAGCAGCAGGATTCCAAGCAGCCGCAGCAGCCTGAGCAGCAGGACCATTCCAAGAAGCTACGCCGCTCAAAGTGTGATGGTTCCTGCCTAGAAATCTTCCCAGATGTCATCCCTGACCTGCCACTGTTCTCCATCAAGCCCTACCATGGCATCCTTGCTCCTGGCCAGAAGCAGACCTTTTATGTGCGGTTCTCCCCGAAGCGCGTGGGGATGTTTAAGACCACCCTGCTGTGCAGGTGGGAAACATCGAGCACTTGCCAACTCACGCTTCTGACGGGTATCACTGGGTGATCACAGGGTGGGACAGGGTGGAAGGGATCACAGTAGGTCACCTGGTCCCACTTCCCTGCTCAAGCAGGGTCATCCCAGAGCACATGGCACAGGGTTTTGTCCAGAGGGCTGTGGAATAATTCCAGTGAGGGAATTATTAGGGTTACCCTCTCTGGGCAACTTAGCACCTGCACAGCAAATAAGTTCTTCCTCAGGTTCAGGTGGAATTTCCAGTTCAGGTTCTGCTCATTGCCTCTTGTCCTGTTGCTGGGCATCACCAAGCACAGCCTGGTTCATCCCCTAACATCCTCCTGTCAGTCCCCCTGACTGGGATGGGGAGGTGGGCCTGGAGTCAGGCAGCACCAGAGAGGGCAGAAACACCCACAGGAGCACAGAAAGATCATCATCTGGCCTTGGTAGGGAGACACTGGGAAAAGACACTGTGTGAAACAGCAAGCTCCTGGAGGGTTGCAAATCTGGAACAAGAGATCCAGGAACCTGCCAGTCCCTAGCTCTGCTTCCTTTTGGGACAAGCAAGGCCTGCTTCTCTACATGGAACCCCGTGTGCTGTAGTTGGTCCCCAGGGATTTAACTGGTCACATTCCTGCCCTTGCACCTCTGCAGCCTCTGTGCAGTGAGAGCCGTTATTTAATTTGCTGCTCGCTGCATGCACAGAGAGAGGATGCAACACTGTGTGCTCTGCAAGTTGCAGAACAACTGGCTGGGAATGTTTGTCTGACCAGTCCCTTTCTTCCTAGGTTTCCTAACCTGGAGCTGGCTCAGAAGATAGGGCAGGTGACTGTGAAAGGCAGAGCCCTGGAGCGGAAGAGTCTTGCTAAACAGAGACGCTCTGCATTAGAGCAGACAGAGAAAGACCAGGGACTCAAGAAGCAGGTGCTCTGGAAACCAGCATCCGAGGGACAGTGTGTGTGTCAGCTGGAGCCTCCTGCAGAAGCCACCAACATCGTGCCTTCTGCGGATGATGGTCTCCCACCCTTCACCAGAGCCCTCCACAGCTACCCTTCCAAGCTTCAGTGAACACCTCTAGCTTACCTTTCAACTACCTACATTAATTAACTGTTTATTAGATGGAAAACAAACTCATAATTGTCAATTAATTGTCAATTGTTAATAAACAATTGTTATTAAATTGTTAATCTTCAGCTTGTCTTGCTTTGAAAGACAGGTGTCTGCAGGACCTCTCTGGAATGGAGAATGTGACTCCTTTCCCTGCAAATTACTATAACTTTGAAATTAAGGGGCTTTCAGGCAACAATATGGGAAAAGGAGTAACATTCTTTGCCAGTATGTATAACAAGAGAAACAAACAACAACAGTGGCAGCAACAACAAACAGAACCAGATACCCAACCACAGCCCTCCCTCGGCTGCAGGTACTTTCCCTTTGGTGAAGTTCCGATCACAGCCAGGCAGTAAAGGGAGGCAAATAATGAACAAAGCAATTACTAGAGAAATTTTAATTAAGCTGCACCAAGGAATACACTGGAGAGCTTAAGGACCGAGCTCTGACACGTGGATCACATTGATTGTGTGATCAATTCTGAAGAACTTAGTGCTGTGAGGGAGTCGATACAGTAGCCAAATAGTGACTGGACAATGTTTGAGTTGTTAAATAAGTGATGAGAAAACACCCTAGTGAGGGAAGAGCCCTAGCCCTTAGACCCTTTCAAAATATGCAAATGGATTACACTGAGTTCCCCAAAATACAGAGATGGAAATACCATCTTGGAACAGCTGATCACCTCACTCACTGGGTGGAAGCCTTTCCTATCTCAACTGCAACTACCTCCAAAGTGGCTAAGATGCTATTAGAACAAATCATCCCCAGATATGGGATAACTGAAAGAGTGGACTCAGATAAGGGGACACACTTTACTTAAAAAATTTTACATTCAGTCTTAAGCTGCGCCAGGGGAAGTTTAGGTTAGACATTAGAAAAAAATTCTTCAAGAGTGACTGCAGGTGAAATCATCTGCCCAGGGAGGTGGTGGGGTCGCCAAGCCTGGACATATTTAAGGAAAGACTGGACGTGGCACTCAATGCCATGGTTTAGTTGATGAGGAGGTGTTAGTTAGGTCATGGGTTGTTCTAGATGATCTTAAAGGTCTTTTCCAACCGAATTCATTCTGTGATTCTGTGAAAAGTTGGCAGTCAATAGAAAATGCAAGCTCCTGAGTACCCATCCAATAGAAAAGGGGACAGGGACCGCCCCAGCCAGGAACGGGTATAAAAAGAAACGATTTTCTTGAAGGGAGTGTGTGTTTGTCTCTTGGGGAAGGGAGGCACACACCTGGTTCGGCTGAATCATTACTAATAGAGTTTTCTTTTGCTTCAAAGATTTGTCCCTATTGAATTGTATCTAAAAGTTAGTGCATTTCTAACACCAGGGAGGAGGAATAAGGTGATCTTTAAGGTCCCTTCCATGTTCTGTGATTCTGTAGAGGAATGTGCCCCCTGTTGATGGAGTGACAAAACTATCCTTTGTCTCCTCAAGAAGGAAAAGAGCCCAGAAGTTTCTCACCTCAATTAAGTGAAAAGACACCTCATAGGACCTGGGGGACTTCACCTCAAACTTAAGGATAGCTAATTAGACAGGAGCCAAAAAGTCCCACCTGAGCAATTTACTGGGAAAAAAAGAGAACAAAGAAACTAATAGCTTTTGTGAGGTGTTTTACCAGGGACAAGGATCTCTTGCAGCTGGCTCAGTTTTTCTCTGTAAAGTTTTGTTATTTTGCCTTTTATTAAAACTTTTTTGTTTCCAACACTACCACAGAAGCCATACTGCTGATTTTATGCCTTCTAAGGTAGCTGAGCTATCTTCGGCGTGAAATTAATCTCCAAGAGCTTATGAGACCTGGCTCAGGGAGACCCCCGTTTCAATTCTGTGCCTGCGCACGAATGCAGCACTTTCACGGTCCTTCTCCCACTGGGAGCCGCTCCAGTCGCGGCACTCAGGCGGGACTGCACGGAAGCGATGGAGCCGCCGCGTGTCTGGGGCAGCGCGGCCCCGCGGGGGCCAGGGAGCGAGCGGCCCCCGGCGCAGGGACACGGCCAGAGGGGCACAGGGAAAGGAAAGGGAAGCACGGAGCGCTGGCTGGCGGAGCTGTGCCGGGGCCGGGCGGGGGCCGGGCCGGGCGCAGCCGGGGGCGGTGCCGGCCATGGCGGCGGAGCGGGAGCAGCCGGGCCCCGCTCCCGGTCCCTGCTCGGGGGCCGCGGGGCAGGAGCGGGGCACGGCCGGAGGGTGCCGGTGCTCCGCTCTGCCCGCCCCTAGGCGCGGGGCCCTGGAGAAGGCGCGGCGCCGCCTGAGGGAGTTCGATGTCGGGGACAGGTTCTCCCGCTTGCCGCTGCCCAGAGCCGCCGTGCTGCTGCCGCTCGTGGTGCGAGGGGGGCGGCTGCACCTGCTGCTCACCGTCCGCTCCCTGCAGGTACCGGGGGCTCCGGGGGCGCGATCCTTCCCGGGAACCATCGGCGTGCGCGCTCCCGCCATCGGCGCGCCCCCGGTCCCGCCCCTTGTTCCCGGGGCACGGCCGGCTGTTTTTACACTCCTGTCCTTCTGGTGTTCGCGTGCCGGGAACATGCCGGGATCCCGGAAACCCGTGACGGGAAATTATCGCTTCCACAGTGGGCAGTGATTGCTTACTTAAATAAGGAAACTGACCATGCAGCGCTGCTTTATTAAATGAGGTTTTTCAATCTGCAGTTAATATTACTCTTTTCTCCTTTTAATACATAAAAGGCAACAACCCAAGGCTGCCAGAACTCTTTCTCCAGCATTTTGCTTTCTTCTACAACTCTTGTTTTCCATCCCTCTGTCACATCAACTGCCTGGACTCAGGAATTACTTTTTTCTGTTGCTGGGTCTTGCTTAAAAAACAAATACTCACAGTTCCATAGTTGATACATTGATTGTAAATGTGTTTTTTACTGATCCTTGATGCACAAGCCTACTACTGCAATGTACTTAAGGGTATCTTAGAAATAACTCATTTTTTGATACAGTCAAGAGGGGACACAGTCTTTGAAGCAATAACTAAATAATTTGTAATGAGTCAGCTGAGTCGGGTGTGTGTCTCCCTCCCCAGAGGCGAAACACCCACGCACTTTGGCAGTCAAATGGCAATCTTTATCCCCTTGCACGGCTGGGGGTGATCCCTGACCCCTTTCCCATTGAATGGCTACTCAGGAACTCAGGCTCTCTCCCGACCGCCAGCTCTTCTGTCCCTTCCCTTCTCATCCTCTTTTCTTGTTCTGGTCATGTCTTCAACCCTGCCCCTCTCCCACTTCTCAACGACACCCAACCAATTAAACAAAACACATCCTAACTATAGAAAACAACAAAGAGGAAACAGAACCAACCATTTTCATTCTTTTGCTCCGTAACCTTTTTGGGCTGAAGCAAAATGTTATTTCCTCTCTCACAGGTACATTATTTAATTGTGTGTTTCAAAAGTTTTTGCTCTTAGAGTATTTTAATCTTGCTCTACAAGTTGTCTGTCTGGATTCATCTGTCAGTCATTTATGCAAACAAGATGATGCAAAATGTGAACTTTGACATGCTCAAGCAGAAGTTCCAGTATGGACTACACAATGCTGTACAGCTACAGTGTATTTTCTATAGAGTGAGGGTTTATGGATTAGCAGGGGATAGCCTCAGAGTTTTCTTAGGTAGCTACTCTTGCTAAGGCACATTTCTTCTGTTCTGCAGAAACCTTAACCACCATTTCCAGCTTCTTTGACTGGAAAGATAAAGGGATGCTGCAATACCAACATGCATCTGTGTGGATCCAATAAGAAACATAAACCTTGTTGTATTTAACAGCAGTACTCCTTTACATTCCAGCTGAGAAGATCACCAGGGGAAGTGTGTTTTCCAGGAGGGAAAAGGGAAGCCACTGATAAAGATGACATTGACACTGCTCTCCGAGAAGCCAAAGAAGAAGTGGGTCTTCAGCCAGAGAAGGTGGAAGTCATCTGTAGGCTGATGCCTGGAATTGATAAAGTAAGTCAGCATATCAGTACAGAATAAGTTTGGGTGCTTTCCTTTTGTGAGGTTGGCAGTGACCTTTTCAAACCTGGAGCTGCCAAGAGGCGCCGCTTCTTCACGTGCACAGCCGTGTGTCCAGCAGAGCCCAGGGAAAGGGTTCTTGCTCAGTGTTTGGCATTTGTGAGACCAGCTCTGGGGCACCAGTCAGTGACTCTGGAGTGCCGCGCTGACAGCGCTGCCCTGGCCAGCGTTTAGCAGAGAGCCGTGAGTGCAGTCACGGGGCTGCAGCGCGTGGGTGGTGAGCAGACGGGCTGAGAGAGGTGGGCTTGCTCAGCTGGAAGGCTGCCGGGGGGTTTGGCTGCTTTCTTCTCCTGGGGAGTCAGAGAGAGGACGATACCAGAACTCTTCTTGAGGCAGTGGACGCAGCAGCAGCATGGACGTTTTCAGGAGATGCAAGAAAAAAGTCCTCTTCACCATGAGGTGAGCCCAGAAGCGGAGCAGATGTTCCTGACAGGCTGTACAATCTCCATCCCTGGAGCTGTGCAGAGCTCACTCACCCAGGCAGGGTCGCAGCAGGCTGCTGTAGCCTCACAGGTGTCTGCTGACTCCAGGGCTGTGCACACAGAGAGGGAGCACCAGAGGGGAGGTGCACCAGGGTTGTGTGCATCGTCTTCCTCCAGCAGGGAGACTCCCAGAGGTATCTGTGGAGTGTAGGTCACCATTTGTAAATCAACAGGTTCTCAATTCCAACAGCAGTGTTCAGTATTACAGAGGATCAGTTTTCCCACAGAATGAGGAATAGCTGTTTCTGAAGACTATTTTTGTTCACCAGGTAAAACTCTATTACTGTGCTTCCTGTTCTTCTATCTGTCAGCAATACCCTCTCCCCATTAAAAAAGGAAAGATCTACTTTTGAAATTGTATTGAAAACAGCTTTATTTAACGACTTAAATTATAATTTCTCTACAGATAACCTTAAAACCACATCGCTCAGAGGCAGTGTGTAAAAAGGATCATATTTTCCCTCTTTTCCAGCCAATTACTTCAGTCAGGAGGAGAGATGGTGTGGGTTTTGGACCATGCATATTGTGCATGTCAGATATACTCTGGCTCCTCAGTATGTACATTCCAGGTGCTTCTGACTTGGACAGAGTCTGTCCAGACTTGAATCAAATACCACAAACACTGTTTTCCTCCTTTCTGCAGGACAGTGGTCTTTGTTGGTGTGAATAAATAGAACTAGCAATGTATCCTAAAGAATTTTGGTGTTCTCTTGATGCAAACTATGATTTCAGTGATTTTGCCTTCCCATGGAAGAAGGGATTAAAGTTAGAATTAAAATGTCCATAAATAATGTGTTTGAAAAAGTGTTACATTTTATGGCTAAGTACATTGCAATAACATTTCTGTACCTATAAAAAAATAATTCCATATTCTGAAAAATTCCTGTATCTCGGGAAAACAATACAGAAATATGATGAAGGATAGGGAAAATCTAGAATAAAATCAGAATTAAAAAACATAAATAAGGAAGACCCATGAGAAAGTATGCTGCTTTTTGACTTCTGTAGCAAACTGGCAAGCCTTTTAAACTGCTCTGATTATACAGGATGAACAGAGTATTTGTAAAGTCATTTTTGACAAATACATAAATATGATTTCAAATTCTCAAAGTCAAATTAAATAGCTTGCCATTAGGAGACTAAATTGCATTGCAGTTAAAAATAGTTCATAGGCTTCTTGTACTCATTTTGTAACAATGAAATGGTTTTTTAAGTAATGAACATCTTTACTTGGTACAGATGTAAGTGTTTGAGAGTTTAGTTGATTTTTTACAATTTACTTACTTATTGGGGTTTTTTTTCTCTCTTTTTAGATGAATAACTTGGTGACACCAGTTGTAGGGTTTATAGAGGATACATTCCAGGCCACTCCTAATCCAGATGAAGTGAGTGAGGTTTTTGTTGTGCCTTTGGAGTACTTTGTCAAGCCTTTGAATTACAAGACCTTCACTTATAAAACCGCCTCAGGTTACTCAACTCGCATACACTGCTTTCTATATGATGACCAGGAACACAGAAAGTCATTCAAGATATGGGGCCTGACTGCCCACTTTGCTGTATTTCTTGCTCTTGTAATTTCTGGAGAAAGACCTACCTTTGAAGTGGATTATGACCTTGACAACTTAATTTCATCCTCTGAGAATTACTTCACTAATTTGTATGCATCTGTAAATGAAAGAAAGAAGAGTAATCTGTGACAGCTTGGTCTGGCCATTAATTTATTCTGGAAGAGGAAAAAGGAGCTTGGTTTATTTCCTTTGTATTTACTGTTTGAGACCTACACTTGAATTTCTTTGGAATTGGGAACTTTAAGTTGACAATCCCTAACTAGATTAATACAATTTTTAATCTCTTTGAAGAGCTGTGAGAAGCACACAATATTTTTTGTGAAACAGACTTTCAAAAGGTCTGTTTCAGTTCCTTCTCAGTTTCAGTGCCTTTGTTCTGCGTGTTTCTGTGCTTACGAAACAGATATTACTCTATTATCATTTTGATGGAATTTGTGTCTGAGTTAACCTATTAAAACTTTTTGAGATCTGCCTCTTACATGTGCCATACGTGGAGAACATGATCCATACAGTCTTGTCTGGTATCTTTGAGCACTTACAGAATGCACAATAAAAATACAGAAGGTTTCAGGTGCTTTCACAATCTTGTTTTGTTTTGCTTGGGCTTGTGGAGGGAAGAGGGCAGGTCAGTATGTGCAATGAATTTTGGTTCATTTAACATTTCTCACGAGGCAATTCCATAGGCTATGGAAAACTTAGGATACAGGCAACAGGACTGAAGTTTGTCCCTCACGTCTTGTTATCAAATCTCACTCAGCTGCTGGCAGGAGTCTTCTCCAGGACAGAAAAGTGGAGGTGAGGATTCACGAGGACAACCCACCAAACACAGAGCAAGGGAGAGGGGTTCAGAGCCCACAGAACAAGGCACTGGGGAATCGTGAGAGACCGACAGCAC